GATCTCAAAAGGTCAGGGACATGGCAGTGATTGACAGGTTGAAAGCAGCCAATCAGGAAAGAGATGCAGCCGTTGCTAGGGCTTCATACTTAGAACAGAGGTTGTTGGGGTGGAGTTATATTGAGGGGAAAACTAAACAAAATTTTTATTGTTGGCAACAATTTTGAATTAAATTTGATAAAACTTCTACACATCACTCGACGCACATACAAAATTTTTTCAATTTGTTCAATTTTTGAATAAATAATTTAACAAAAAAAATAAGTTAATAAATAAATAAATAGGTTAATAAATAAACAGACAAATAATTAATTACTTAATTAATTTTTTTTTGCAAACTGTCTAAAAAGGCTTTACGGGAAGGTAAAAATTTATATTATATTATAATTTATAACGCCTTTTCTTGTTAGTTTTTGAAATAAAAGGAATTGAAATGATTTTTTATTCAACAACCATTCAAAATAAATGGAAAATAAATGTTAGGATGGTTGAGATAAAACGCCAAGTTCGTCCAACCCAACCAGAATCACCTTTCAGAAGAGTTAATTTAAATATAAGTAATTTTAAATAGAAAGAGTACGGTGAAATGTTTTGAATAAATAAAAAATATAATAATAATATTATTATTATTATTGTCGTTTTGTAGTTTATATATATTTTATTATTCTTTTTACATAATAATTGAAAGTGAAATACCCATAGTTGGAAAAATAATCTATAAAAACGATAACATGCTGATTCTTAAATTGATTCAGAATGATGTCGTGTCAGACATGATCAGAAGTAAGTCACTGGATAACTTGAGAGATGCGACGGAGAAATTTGTTCAAATCGTGAAAAGTGAGAAAGAGAAACGAAAAATTGCAAACGAACAAGAAGTAGAAGCTATTTTGTTTGAGCGCGATCTTATACATAAGCAGGTTATTTGGTTGGCTGGTTGGTTGGTTGGTTAGTTGGTTGGCTCGCTGGTTGGCCGGTTGGCTGGCTGGTTGGTTGGTTGGTTGGATGGTTAGCTGGTTAGTTAGTTAATTGGTTGGTTGGCTGGCTGGCTGGTTGCTTGGTTATTTGAATAATTAATGAAATGACTGATTGATAAGTAGATTTTTTGATTGATTGGTTGTTTTGTTGGCTAATTGATGCTTCAATCATACTTTTACGTGTTCAATGTTAGTTAAGAATATTATTGATATTGAATATAGCCTACTATTAAAATGCACATTAAATTATTGGCCGACAGATAGATGGCAGTGAAAATAATAAATAACAATAATTATACAGCTAATAACAGTAATAATAATAATAGTGAAATAATGCTAATTATTATTTTAATAATTGTTAAAATTATTGAATAAATAATAGAAAATCGACCTGGAGCACGAGAACAAAAAACTCGTCGGCAAACTTCAAGAGGAACTGACGAAGAAGAAAGATCTCATGATCAAACAAGTTAATAATAATAATAATAATAATAAGAATAATAATATGAATAATAATAATATGAATAATAATAATATGAATAATAATAATAATAATAATATGAATATGACGATGACGACGACGATGATGAGGATGATTGTAATCGCGATCTATTAAAAAACCGATCAATCAATCAATCAAGCAATCAATCAATCAACTAATTATTTTTATATATTAATTAATTATTTTAATCATTATCATTAGAGAGAGATAGAAAAGGAGAGGGACGATTGCTTGAATAAGTTGTCGCGTCTACACGACGAATTGAAAAGCCTGAAAGTTTGCTACAAGTAAACTTTTAAAACACTTTTTTAACGTTTTCTTTTTTTCAGATGTGGAGGAGGCGTAGCCCTGAGTTTTAGTTTGGGGTCTTGAAATTTCCCGTGTGGGGGTTCCTCAAATTTTAAAGTGGGGTGGAGAGGTTGAAAAAAAAAAGTTGACGACCAAGTTTTTTTGGTTTTTTATTCCATTTTTTATTAAAGACAGTGCTTTTTTGAAAAATGGTTGTTCCTGTCAAATTTTGGTCAGAGATTTTGTTAAATTTCACTTTGACCTCATCTAAAATTTTGTTGTTGGGAACTCCGGCCCCAAAGACTTCTTTGGCTACGCCTCTGGTTGTTTTACAGTTAATTTAATTTTTCTGAATCGAATTTATAATTTGTCAGGAATTCATAAACGTCAAAATTTAATTAAAGTTTGCATCGACTACCCATCTATCCATATATCCTCACACTCTCAAATAATCCCAATTTTGTCCCAAATGTCAGCCTCCACGGGTCTCTCTCGAAGGAGAAAGAACTCCACCAGGAATACAACAACATGCTTGATAGGCTGCAGGATGAACTGCACAACAAAAGCAAGCAAGTTCGCCTTTTAACACAAGATAAGGAAGAACTTTTATCGAAACTGAAAGAATCCTTAAACGATAATAAAGGAGTGAGAGAGAGATGTACGGAGTTAGAGGGGCAGTTGACGAGAGAGAGAGAAGAAACTGAACAGTGAGTAGATAGTTTAATTTTGGGGAATTTTTTCGTACATTGTTCAATTTTGTATTTTAATTTTTGCGTTTTCTCTTTATATATCTATTCTTCCATTTAATAATTAGTTTCCTTCATTCATTCATTCTTTTATTCATTCTTTCATTCATTCTTTCATTCATTCTTTCATTCATTCATTTTTTCTAACCCAAGATTAACAAGATTGGTGTCTGTATTGAGAAGAAAATTAACCGACGCTTGATTGCCGATGTTCACCATTATTTGTTCACCCTTAATTGTTCATTCATATCTGTTCACTCATAATTGTTCATTCTTAATTGTTCACTCACATTTATTTAACATACTTGAGGCTGTTTTTTGATTACTTATAATGAATTGCTAATCTATTTTTATGTTGAAACCATTTTTATTATTTCATATTACAAAAATTATTAATTATGCCTTATTAAATTATTTTATAAAATAATGTTTTTTCATATTTATTTACTTATAATTGTTCACCCATGTCTGTTCACCCATGTCTGTTCATCCATGTCTGTTCATCCATATTTGTTCATCATATTTGTTCACTCATTAAGCTCACGTAAAATATTTTCGTTAACATTATGCAATTACCGTGTTGTTTGTTTATAGGTTATATCAGATTAACATTTAGCATAGGAAGCATTTATTAAAAAAATATAATAATAATATTTATGTAGCGCTAATTAAGTATTAATCCCAAAGGCGCCATATAATGTTAACCATATGGTATAGCGCTAAATAAATTAAAATTTCAAAGATGCTAAAGCACCATTAAGCTCACAAAGTTTCATTTTCATTGTTGGCACTTGACGAAATAAAAAAATGAAAATTATTATTCTTGGCTACTTGAAAAACATAGACTAAAAATTCTTATGACGATTACGATGATGATAATGATTGAAGTGATGGCGGAAACGATGATGATGACTGTGGTGAAGATGATGACGTCAGCAAGAGTGATGGTGCCGATGATGACAATGACCGCCAAAGAAGCATATGAATCTACTCTTCAACCAGACAATAGAATTTTGCAGAACATTGACGCTCCTTCAAATTCTCCAAGTATCTAAGCATTTGTCATTCAACAGAAAAGAACAGTGGCATGCACACGCACACACACGCACATGCACAAGCACACATAAACACACACACACACAAACATAAACACACACACACAAACATAAACACACACACACATTCAAATTAAAAACGGCAGGTAAAAAAAACTCTTGAAAATTTTATTTCACACGGAAAAAATATGCACAAACATAATTGGCATACGTACAAAACGTACACACACATATACGCACACGCACACATACGCACACACACATACAGGCAAACACATAAATACACACACATACAAACATGAAAAATGACATGACATGCACTTACAGTGAACACATGCTAACTCATTTGACACACTCATGCACGAGCTTCGTTTGTTTAAAAAAATAATATTTATTATTTATGGCTTGAAAGAAAAGATTGAAAAAATACTTGTCCAGTAACACACACGTACACACGTACACACGCATACATACACATACATATACATACACACACACACAAACCCATGTGCTTTTGAGTTAATTGTATGAAAAGCGCTATAATAATAATAGTATAACTAACAAATACACCGCACAGACATATATAAATACAAAACAAACAAACATGTATGTGTGTATATACGTACACGAAAATACACACACACACACGCACACACACACACACACACACATACATGCATTCTTTCCGCAAAATGTCTACCTAACTTAATTCACCTACGTAAGTACCGAACAGCCAACTTAGTAACTTAAGACCACTGTGATGCATATTTATGATTCACTTTCATCCAGCCTCATCCCACCATCTTCCATCATCATCTCACAATATTTCCAAGCGTACAAACTTCATTTCCGGATGGCCTAGTGGGATGGGATTAAAAGTCGATATGTACACATATACACGTACACACGCACACACTCACACACACACACGTAACACATACACATATAATACTCACACATATATCTGTACAGGTGGACAAATAACACTTAAATATGTACAAATACAAACACAAAAACACACGTTCTTAATAAAACATGCGTATGTACACATACAACACACATACATATTTACATCCGTACACACACACGCACACACAAACAAACAAACACACACAGGCACACAAACAAACAAACACTCATGTAGTACAGTTAATTAAACATCCTATTGATAAACATTGAATTTCAGAAATGATGAGGTAGAATGGAAAGAAAGTGCAACAGGCAAAGAAGAAAGAGTACAAACAAAATATTAAAAATCAGAAAAAAGAGAAAAACAAAGAGGAAGAAAAGGAAACGAGAGAGAGAAGGAGACGAGAGAGAGACAAAAGACGAGAGAGAGAGAAAGAAAAAGAGAGAGAGAGAGAGAGAGAGAGAGAGAGAGGAGAAACAACAGAACATAAAAGTTGTAAAAAATAAATAAAAATTAGAAAAAGAGAAGGTAGACGAGTGAATATTAAAAAGTGAAAAAAAATGAAAGAACAAGAAGAAATAGAGTAAAAAAAGAGGGAGAAAGAGAGAAAGGAAGAGGGAGAGAGAAAGAGAGAGAGAAAGAAAGCGATTCGAGCATCAGAGAGCACAGCAGTAGTATTTACTTTATAA